TACACCCATTTACTGCCAATAACAGACCTATGTGAAGGTGGTGGAACAAGTATCCAAGTACCTTGAGATTTTAAGGCATTGAACTCCTACTGCATGGCAGTTTGCCATTCTGATGACAAAGAAGCAGCTTTAAATGTCCTAGGTTCTTCACAGTTTGAAATGTCAGCAATAAAGGAAAAACCCCCAGAGACAGGCACACTCAAGGTGGTAGATGAACCATTAGGAGATAAATCATCAAGATGTAAAGAACGCAACTGAGGTAGAGAAGCAAGACACCCCACAAAGCTTTTCCTGGAAATGGCACCAGTTCTTAACCTGGTTTGGATACACTCCCCCTGAGCTTCTGGCTCTGGTGATACATGTTCTTCGGATGGTGTAGTATTTGGAGAAAATAATTCGACACCTGACTGAGATAAAGACTGTTGAGAACCTGCAGAAGTTGTATTGCGCTGTGAATGAGACACTGGTATAGTGACAATCACAGGTACAGACCTTGGTTGTTCCTGTTCCTCATGACTATACATTCTTGCAGGGCTTGTATGTGAAACCATTCTGGCAGGAAATAGAGATTTATCAAAATAGACATGCCTGGAAATAACCAACTTCTTGGTTTGCAAGTTATAACAAATTACTCCTTTGTACCCTTGGTAATAACCCAAAAATGCACACATCACTGATCTTGGTTGTAATTTGTTACTATTGTATGGTCTCAGACAAGGAAATACAGCAGAACCAAAGATCTTAAGGAATTGGATATCTGGCACTTTCTTATATAAAGACAAGTATGGAGAGCTAAAACTCAAGCTTTTGCAAGGCATGTTATTAATCAACCTAACTGAATGAGCACAAGCAAAATACCATAACACAGAAGGTAAACCAGAAGCACTAAGCAGAGTGATTGCAGTGTCCAAAATATGCCTATGTTTCCTTTCAGCAACTCCATTCTGTTGAGGAGTATAAGGACAGGAAATCAGTTGCATGATTTCTTTGGCAGCAAGAAAAGAAGAAAACCTCTTGCTTGTATATTCACCTCCCCCATCTGTTTGCAATGACTTAATTGGAATGCCAAACTGAGTCAGGACAAACTGATAAAACTGAACAAAGACTGTAAACACATCAGATTTATTGCTCATCGGGAATATCCCAACAAATCTCGTATATTCATCAACAAATGTTACATAATACCTATAGCCCTCTATAGATCTTACAGGTGCTGGTCCCCAGACATCAGTATGTACTTTCTGAAAATGAGATGTACACCTAGCAGTTCTAACAGGAAATGGAAGCCTAGACATTTTGCCTTGAATACAAGAGATACAAGTATTATGATTATCATCTGTTTGAACTGGAATATTCGACTGTTTCAACATGAAAGTCATCACATCATGAGCTGGATGTCCTAATCTCTGATGCCAGACATTATTCTTCACTGCTTTTCGCAGATAAGCTGCTGGACACCTGGTGATATGCTGAGAACCCTTTGCACTTGTGACCACAGGGATATGGAACAATTCATCAGGCCTACTCTTTCCTTGGTACACTATCTCCCTTGTCTTCTTGTCCTACACAAAGAATGCAGACTCATCACATATAAACCAGCTGTTGTTATCTGCACATAACTGTTTCACAGATAGTAAACTCCTAGCAATATTAGGCACATGTAAAACTTTGTTAAGAATCAGGGAATGAGTAGGAGTCTGAAGCTTGGTGGATCCAGTATGTTTAATTGGAAGACCAGTACCATTCCCAATTATTATTTTCTCAGATCCCTCAAAGGGTTTTACTTGAGAAAGAGCACTAATGTCAGAAGTTATATGATGTGACGCACCAGAATCAACAATCCAAGTATCTTGAGGAAAAGGTTGAGGAGACTGTTGTGCATTCATTGCAGACAATGATGAAGGTGGAGGATGTCCTTGATAAGCATAGTTTCCCCTGTGATAGCAATCCAAAGCTGAGTGACCTCTCTTCCCACATCTCTGACACTCGACTACAACACCTGTGATTGGCATATTTGTATTCCTGTGAAAACAGTTAACTGCAGTGTGTCCTCTTTTGTTGCAGATCTGACATTCAATCACCACTGTAGTTCTATTATCAACAATGCCTGACCAGGTATTAGTACCATGCCCAAGTTGTCTTGATCCCCCCAATTGTACTGAGGTATTCCCTTTTCCTCGAAAGCCATTATTATGCATGTAATTGTTGGCACCCCTGTAGTTGTTATTACCCCTGTAATTATTCCCAAATGATCCAGATTGTGCATTTGAGGACTGTGATCTAGAGATAGGTGGACCACTAGAATTTGCAGAGAAACCATATCCATATGACTCATTTGGAAACAAACCAGGTGGTGGAAAATAATATGGCTGCTGGAATTGAGGTTGTGAAGAAAAGTATGGCTGTGGACCTGGAGGGGGTACAGCAGTGATAGTACCAGCAGTGACAGCTGGAATATGAGCATGACTATGAGAATTTGAAGATGATGCAGACGAGTGAGACCCAATGTTTGAACTAGAACCAGTGGCTGGACCAGAACTTGACTCTTGCACATACAAAGCAGACATATTCTGAGTAACTATGTTCATGTCACTCTCAATTTCCCTCTCAGTACCAAGTAACAATGCTCAGAACTTCTTCAACGTGAGTGTAGACTCCCTAGCCAATATAACAGTACGAATAACCCCAAATTCCTTAGGTAAACCAGCAAGACCAGCAATCATAATATCATTATCTGAAATAGATTCACCTGCAGCACTGAGTTGTTCTCTAATATGCTTGAGCCGCAACAAATATTTATCAATTGTATCAGACCCTTTTTGAATCGTGTGTAGTTCAATTTTCAAATGATTGATTCTAGATTTAGACACAGTGGCATATCGATCAACAAGATTAATCCAAGCCTCATATGCAGTACGACATCCAATCACATATTCCATAGCCTCATCAGTTAAAGTAGCAAGCAATAAACTCAATAACGCCATATCAACAGTTTCCCATTCAGTGTATGCAACTGTGACTTCCCTTGTAACCCCATGTTCTGAATCAACAACAAACTTTGATGGACAAGGAGTAGTACCATCAAAATGACCAAACAACTTATACCCCCTTAGCACTGACTGAAACTGAAATGCCCATTTAGCAAAATTATCATCCCTAAGCTTAATGGTAAGCATTCCCAAAACACCTTCAACTTTAAACGAAGACGCATCCATGACAGAAAGATTGATATTTCCACAGATCAAGACAACTGTATGATTAAAAGAAAACCAATTCTAGAGAATGACACTCTAGACAAATCAAGAAAGACTAACCCTTTCTTGCAACAATGCGACCAATTCACAATACTGCAATCAATACTTCAACTAACAGACAATTTCATAACTCATACACCAGAATGCACTCATCAAATCAGGAGAAAACATAACAGAATCCCCAATTCACCAATTCAGCAATTCAGGAGAAAACATAACAGAATCCCCAATTCACGAGAATCATGACAGAATCTCAAACGCCATTTTTGTACAGAACAAAATCAACATTCAAGAAAACCCAGACAAAGAAACACGAACAATCTCACCAGATTACCGACAGAGACCCTTGAAAAAACCACCAAGAATCTGCATCAGAGTAGCGGAAGAAACCCCTGGGATCGAAAACGGCCGTAACCCTTCGCCAGCGATGATACCATATTAACTAATATGTGAACCAAAGTATTGAACAGAGATATGTGAACCAAAGAGAAGGAAGAAGAGAAGTCGAGAGGTCTGTATTTCACAGAGTAAAGAATAGAGTTTTTCTGAATACAAGCACATGACATCTATATCAGCTATTTATACTAGCTAATATCTCATTACACAATGACTCTATTACCCTTTCTAACAACTCCATTCTAACTAACTCAAACCAATGACACACTGCCATATGTCAATCATGACTCTATGGTTATTAATATCGCACAATGGATCCATCGGATCGAAATTTGATTTTGTAGACCCACTTACATCCAACCGGCTTCTTTCCAATGGGCAACGGTTGAAGATACCATGTCCTATTCGCAACAAGGGCTACTAGTTCTTGTTCCATGGCTAAATGTCATTGGGGGTCGCGTATGGCCTGTGAGAATGAACTGGGTTTTATGGCAACTAAAATGGAAGTGGTGAAAGCACGATGTCGAGCAGATAAACGATTATATATGAGTACATCAGACAAGGGGAAAAAAGTAATTGTCACTTTGGTCAACGCCGAGTGAGATGAAATGATGGATCGAGAAGAAAGGTTAACGTCCATGTGATATTGTTGAAGATAACCAGGTGCATGAGTGGGTCGTTTAAGGCGTGGTGATAATGTTGAAATAAGGGGAGAATGAATCGAAGTAGGACTCACCGGTGAAGAATGTGATGTGTTGACTGAAACCTGCTCCAATGGAATGGACTGATGAATGATGGTGTCATCAAAGTCAGTATCTTGAGCATGTGGAAGCACAAGAGGTGAAACTGCAATGGAAGATGAAAAGCAATCTAAGATGACTGTACAATAATCAAGGAATGGACTCCTTAAATCAAAAGAATGATAACCAACACTCCTTCACAAGTTAGGAATAATCAACATCCATTCCAACTTGAGGATGAGTGTTGAGTACACCAAAGTCTGTCATCTGTCCCTTGATTTAAGGAGTCCATTTTCTTGATTACTGTACAGTCATCTCAGATTGCTTTTCAACTACTTAGGAGTCTAACTCACGTAATAGCTTGTATAGGCCTTAATTTCAGGATCTTGATAATCTCCCCTATTGCTGTTGTCCTTTGCCTTTTTCAGTTTGCGGCATTGATCAATGGTGTGACCTCTCAAATAACAGTAGTCGCACTTGAGGTGTGCTCGACAGGTATCTGAAGTGTGACCTCTCAAATTCCTACCAGAGTTTCGCATGTTGTCCTACACGGCGAAAGCTGCTGCATCTGTGATTGAGGACCTTCCAGGACATATGTTGAGACCGTTTTCTACTTCTCATCTTTAATAATGAGTGAGAAAGCCTTGTTGACAGCAGGAAAGGGATCCATAAGTAAAATTTGCCCACGAACTGCAGCATAGGGTTCATTGAGACCCATGAGAAACTTTATGGTTTTCTGACTTTGCTGAAACTGCATCAATTCCTTCGCAGCACCATATGCACAGGTTGGGAAATAGCACAAGGCATCGCGGTCATCCCAAAAGCTTTTCAGTTTGGTATAATACACATCAATGTTCATATTTCCTTGAACACTTCCATGTATCTCTTGTTCGATATGGAAGAGATGTACGCTGTTTGTGTGAGAGAAACATTCCTTTAATTCATTCCAAATATCAGATGCAACATTGTTGTAGATGACACTTGCTTCGATATCTTTCGAGACAGAGTTGAGCAGCCAGGATTTCATGAGGTTGTTGCAATGAGTCCACTGTTGGAATTCAATTGTGGATGCCGTCGCAGGGTCTTTAATGGTTCCATCAACGAACCCTTCCTAGTTCCTTGTTCTTGGCATTGAGGGCCATGGACATGGCGCGGCTCCAAGTGGAGTAATTTTCGTCATTTAATGGTTGTGTGATGAGAATCGTTCCAGGCTGATCGGAGTGATGAAGATAAAAGGGATCGCTGGGATCTTCGTTTTTGGTGGTAGTTGAGCCTTTTTGTTTGTTGGAATCTTCGGTCGCCATGTTGGCGAGAAGAGTAATGCTATGACTTCTTGGTGCGTTTGAACACCAAGGATTTTAGGTTATCAGGTTAACAAAAAGACTGAGCTTTGGTACCATGTGAAACCTTCTATTTTGTGAGAATGGTTTTCATAGAGTAAAAAGTAATTGGTACAAAGAGAGACTTATAAAGATACATGGATCAATCAAGATCCTGAAATTAAGGCCTATACAAGCTATTATGTGAGTTAGACTCCTAAGCAGATGAAAAGCAATCTGAAATGACAGACTTTGGTTTACTCAACAGCTCGGGGACAGTGATCACGCACCTCCCGGCCACCCCGTATGCCGCATTACGCGCGGCTTTTAGAAAAGCGATGGAGAAGTACCCTTTTGCTAAGTCGAAGTCTGCCCTACTAGACACTTGCTACGACTTAAGTGGACTTAAAACGGTGTCGTACCCGAAGATAGGGTTTGTATTTGGAGGTGGGGTTACGGTGGACTTGGACTCGACAGGGGTACTGTTCCAGACGAGTGGTTTGCAGTTTTGCTTGGCGTTTGCCGGAAACAAGGACGATAGTAGCGTCGGGATTATCGGCAACGTTCAGCAGAAGAGGCTGCAAGTGGTATACGACGTTGTTGGGAGAAAGATCGGATTTGGCCCTGCTGGTTGCCCCTGATTGATTGGCTACGTAAATCATTGCTGATGAAGATTTCTAACTGGTGGTACTGCCAAATATGCAGCTACCGGAAAAATAAAGTTGTTAGTAATGATCTGTTGTCTTTGTGGTTCCGGTGATGTCAAAGTGTTAATTATCTGTTATTTATCCTCCTTAGGAATGTTTGTTATCCTTTTTAAGAAAGGAAAATTTTAAGAGATTTGAAGTTCACTGAAAGTTTTCGGACAAAAAATTAGAAACTTTGTCTTTGATTCAAACCATTAGAACATCAAATATTTCATTCATTGCATTCAGGTCCAATACAGAACTTAGCACCCACCCAAGGGGCTTGTTGCCCTACCAACTATATTCCAACATTTTAATACTCCAATTATGTGACACATAACGACTAGCATGAGGTTCAAAGTGATTATTATTATTTATTTTTTTTTTTTTTTGCTTCTTTAAAAATGGACCAATTGATGGTTTCATCATGGCATTGTACTCTTTCGAAGGCCAAAAAGATTATTAAGAGATATTTCAACCTACCCTTGACCACCTTTTTTTTTTTTTTTTTTTTTCGCATTGCCCTAATGGTATTGATTTTGTCGCAGAGGTGATGACTAATTAATTAGTATGGACTTCTATTAAGGACATCCACATGTGCAACCGGGAAATAAACGCATGCAGCCACAAGAAAATTCATCATTATGTACGTAGTTTCCTAGCTTGGAAAACCTTATCCACGATATTTGACAGGGGTTGCATATCTTCTCCAAATCGATCTGTCTTTGTATGCACAGACTACACAAGTATACGTTGTTGTTGTTGAAATGATTAGACATTTCTAATTACCATTTGACCGCGATTGACCTGCTAATTATCATTTGAAAACTTAAGCACTCTCTGACTTGTCTTGAGTATCAAAATTCACGATTCCACATATAGGCCTGCTTTGTACAGCTTGCATGTCCTCCGCTGAAATAATATCTCCTCAGTCCGATTTATCATTGAATTTTTATATATAAAATAAACTTTTGTGTGTGTGTGTGTGTGTGTGTGTGTGTGTATTTCAATTCAATGTTATAAATTTACATGAATTAATAATTAAGTCCGCTTATGCATGGCGACATTCATTATTTTTAAAAGGAAAATTAAATTCCAGAAAAATAACATCAAAGTCTTCGTCAACGTTTTACAACCGTGAGTCTCCTTATAAGGGCGTGCATCCTCATCCCAAATCTAAGAGCTAAAACTTTTAGGGAGTAATAAGGCTTCATGGAAATTGCTCGGATGAATTTTAGCTCCTTTTTTTTCAGGTCTTTTGGTTTATATATATTATTTATATGTCTAGTTCTCTGCTCTTTGGAGAAGGGTTTTGCCTTGGCAGGAAGAAAGGATAAACTTACTCATCACACAGTTCAGTTGAACTCTCTACTGCCAGCAACTACTTGCACCCCCTCCACCAAAGGTACTTACTAATTTTTTGTCTTGCTACCTCTTTCTGTATGTGTCATGTATGTCAGTATATTAATACATGCACGAATCGTGTTCCTTAATGTTTAGTTATGATATGTTATATATGTTATAAAAATAATTTGGATGTAAGCATCATGTCGTCACATAGCGTTACTATTTTTCAAGTCACATCAATCACAAATTTATGCAAATATATATTATCAATTGGACTGTGAACACATTACGTGATGCGTATTGCGCTAGAGCATCAAATAGAACAAATAAATTGAAAAATAACTCATAATTTATTAACTGATTGAGGTAACAAATGTAAAAAGAAAAAAAAATTAAGTTTCTCACAAATTGGCTCACTCAAATTATTCACTAATTCAGGTCACAACAAGAAACATGGATCAGTACTAACAGTGGTATACACAGGCATGGCCCTTGCTACGAACCCAACCAACACAAAACCAAAACCAAAACCGCTACAGATCTTCAAGAATATTACGCTCAATTCTTCAAGCAAGACCAAGCACGAGTCGATTCAATCTACTCCCGCCTAAAGGCCACCAAAAGATATTCAACCAAAACAGATGACAACCTTCCGATTACGCAATCGGAAGATACCAACACCTTCCCGGCCCCTTCTGCCACGACGGTGGGTGGTTCTGGCAACTACGTTGTGAAGGTCGGATTAGGCACGCCGGCCAAAAGTTTTTCCCTCGTATTCGATACCGGAAGCGACCTAACTTGGACTCAATGCCAGCCTTGTCGATTCGGCACCGGAAGCAACCTAACCTGTTACCACCAAACAGAGCCCATATATGACCCGTCACTCTCCACCTACGCCAACATCTCATGCAACACCGCAACTTGCAGTGAGCTGACGTCGGCCACAAACACTGGACCCTTCTGTTACCGGGCGACGAACACGTGCCTGTACTTCGTTGGGTACGGAGACAAGTCCACATCTGCCGGATATTACGGAACCGAAAGGCTCACGTTAACCGCCACTTCGACCGACGTGTTTGATGGCTTCCTATTCGGGTGCGGCCAAGATAACAGAGGTCACTTTCTTGGCATTGCCGGTTTGCTTGGTCTAGGCCGGAACAAAATATCCCTCATCGAACAAACGGCCGCAAAGTACGGCCGATATTTCTCCTACTGCCTTCCCGTCGACCAGAGCTCCACAGGCTTTCTCCGCCTCGGCAACGACGGGGGAAATACCGCAGCCATTAAGTTCACGCCGCTCACCACCCTTGCTGTAGAAGAATCATTTTACGGGCTCGACTTGGTCAGCATCAGCGTCAGCGGACAACAGGTGTCGATTCCGTCGACGGTTTTTTCTACCGGAACTCTCATCGACTCGGGGACAGTGATAACGCAGTTGCCGGCAGCCGTGTACACCGCGATGAGAGACGCTTTTAGGGAACGGATGAAGAGCTATAGGGAACCCAAGACAGTTCTGGAGAAACTGGACACTTGCTACGACCTTAGAGCGTATAACTTGGAGACGGTCTCGTTTCCGGCGGTAGCGTTTACTTTCGGTGGCGGGCTTACTTTGGAATTGAAATTGGCGGGGACAGTGATTGTGATAGTTGATACTTCGCAGGTTTGCTTGGCGTTTAGTCCTACCCCCGAAGATCAGTTGCCGGGGATCATTGGGAATATTCAGCAGATTGGGTTTGAAGTGGTGTATGATGTTGCAGGAGGGAAGATTGGATTTGCCACTGGAAGTTGCTAAATTGAATATGATTAAGTAATAAATCAGGTTTAGAGTGGTCTCAAATCTGAATTAATTTAGCACTACTAAGTCATTTTGCTGAATAAATTATGAGGAACACCGTTCATGCATGTATCTAGCTACAGAATTTGGTGACATGTTTAGGGTTTGAGTGTGCGTATAATTATATTTAGCTCAAGTATAAATAATGGAAGCATTTGGCAAGATTGCGAGAACAAAATTATTTACTCCATTTGTGGTTCTCTTGCTTGGGTTCGTTTGATGTCACTTTGTGAAACAAAGTCATTGGGGGAGCGAAGTGTCAAACACTAGACCTAATGTGTAGAGATTAATACTTTTAAATATTTGAGCTATAAAATACTTGTACATTTAAATTTTGTGTCTCCACTTATCACTCGTAAATGTCTCGAAGATAAATGTCAAGAAGACTTTCTCAAAGTGCATGAGACTCTTCATGAATTCTCTGTCACCTCACAGTTTAAAGTTAATTTTCATTATAACATTATAAAGCATTGTGTAAAAAATGATTAAAAAGTATTTTTGGAACAATCTTTAATAAAAATGCAAGAAGTACTTTTAAGTGTTTTTGCAAGTTTCACTTAAATAGACTTATAAATAACTTTGAAGGGTGTGTGTCATTTGATTATGATCAGAGTGAGCTGATATACTTCAGCCTTTCCAAATTCCATTAGTAATCACTCCTACTTTTCAGAGTGTGGGACACTTCAGGCTTTACGAAACAATAATAATTAAGAGACAATCAACAAATTGAGGTGAGACAACCACCATGGGATGGCTCAGTGGTTAGGAATGAATTCCAGGCTTATATTCCACATAACACATTCTGGATTCGATTCCCGCCGTTGGTGAATCACACAATAATGGTCTGAGAGAGGTTAAAATGCCTATATGAGTCTTCTTGACCTCCAAAACATGGCGAAACCACCATCTAGTCCTTAAAAAAAATCGAGGTGAGACTCTAATTATTGCTCATACTTGACAGTGACACCATCCTCAAAGATTTATTTAACTCAAACCAGCAAATTAGCAGCCAAGCTAATTCGCCTATACTTAAGAAAACCATGTTAGGGTGTATATAGTAGTAACTATATCTAGAAAAGATGAACGAGTCATGGATGATAATTAAGCTGCCTTCCCTTGCTATTATGCTACAATAGCAAGTGAAGACAGCCATTATGCTAGTTTATACGGATCTCTCTCTCTCTCTCTCTCTCTCTCTCTCTCTCTCTCTCTCTCTCTCTCTCTCTCTCTCTCTCTCTCTCTCTCGTTACAATGCCAATAGCATTCACAAGTGTGTATGGGTGTAGTGCATCTGGTAATTCATGGTCATGTTTTTATTATTTAGGAGAGGTGGGAGGTTCGAAACTATTACAATAATTTAGGAGAGAGATGAGTTTCAAACTTGAAAAGCATGGGAGGAAACCCAACATCCTACGCACTCAGATATTAGACCACATGTGATAGTCATTTTGATTTTATAAATTATAAATTGTATATCTCTTGTCACGCTAACTAATCACGTAATGAAAACTTAATTGTAAGGACGAAAATTTAGGCCCATGCTATGTTTTACTTGTATATGGACAAAAGGTGAGCTAAGGTTGCCTCACGTATAGTCTCTAGTATTTGCCACTCACCTTCAAGATGCTATGTATTTGTCGACATCTACGCATTGGATTGGGATGGTTGGACTTAATTCTCCGCAGCAAAGAAAATGAAGATGAAGCCACAGAGTCTAAATACTTACATACATATGTATACGTAGTGTTATATCTGCCCTTTCTAAACAAACCCTATTGTTCAACAAAAAAAAAAAAAAACCCTAATCAACCAGTTGGTCTGACGTCGTTTAGTGGATTTGATATTGATGGGCAAGCTTGCATTATGTGTTTGCTGTTATAATGGGTGACGTGTAAGAATTGATAACCCAATGGGTTTCCAATTAGCTTATAAGGCAGAGAAGGTCACGATTTGGAGGAGCAATACCATAATTTGAATTCTGGGAAGAGTTTTCGATACTCATAGCGGCAACTCCCAGTTTTTCTAGCTCCTCCTCCTCCTCCTCCCTCATGAGCTATTTGCTTGCCTTTACTGTATTTCTAACCCTATTTCTCAGCTCTTTGGAGAAGGGCTTTGCCATGGAAGAAAACCAGCTTCTCCATCAACATGCTCATACAGTTGAACTCAATTCTCTGCTGCCGGCAACCTCCTGCAGCCCTAGCTCCTCCGCCAAAGGTTAATAAATATGTTCATGTTTTTTTTTTTTAAATTTTAATTTCAGTTTTATTGGAAATATTATATATATATAGATAATGAGAGAGTAGCAAAGTGCAACGAATTAGTAGCTTAATACAATTCCCACGTTCCATATTTTGTACTATTTACAATAATCTGAACTGAACATTTTGTAGGTCATCATTGCAAAATATCATTCTTACAAAAATTTATTCATATTAAAAGCTATATTTTGTTAGAGCTTGCTTATACGTAGATACATGGTTTAATTGCAAAGTTGGAAACATATGTAGTGCGGGTGGTCGGAGAATCCAATTCCTTAACCCCATGAATTAGTAGAGACACAACAACAAGCCATTAGAAACATTTCTTTTTATAAAATAGATAAAAGAAAATTTAAGGGGATACTTTTGATAAGGAAAGCACGGGTTAGATTCCTGCAAATTTTAGAAAGTCATAAAATTGATGTTTTGAAAAGCAATAAACTATTGGTAGTTGTTTTAATTTTCAACATGCATGATTGTGAAATGGAACCAAACATGTAAATAGTGAGCCACCATATACCCATTATTTGATGCCAACACGAGATTATATATTAACACCAACAACAAAGGGGATTATGTTTTTTTACTACTAATATTTACACAATCTTAATCTATTACGAGGAAGGAATTCAAAACTTGAGTATATAAAGAAAAGTATATTGCTCTAATCAACTTGGTATCAAACTCAAATCTATCGAGAAAAATAAGAAGAGGTCAATTTTGACATAATAAATAATTCTTTGTTGTTAAAAAATTTCAAAAGTTACTGAAAGAGCTTTTTTTCATGGCTTTCTTTGTTTCTTAAAGTCTCTGTTTCCAATAACATATATGTGTGATGCACACGCGTGTATTTGAAGTTTAAATTTTTTACATTCATTTTATGTATAGTTTTTCCGTAGTAATTTATCTTTGATTGACACCTGTTAATAAATTTAACTATTTTTAACTTTGTTGTCATAAAATTAACACATTTCAATCAATGATAAAGGCCACATAGATGCCACACGAATATAGAAAATTTAATCTTGTGTATTTGTAAGCTGCAACAATTAAAAATTACGCAATGACCAAATATGATACAATTAATTAAATAAATTCGACTATGATTGCTCAACAAAAGCATGACATAAAAATTTTTTTTTTTTCCTTTTTTTTTTTTTTTACTAAACAAATTAAAATATCCAAAAACCATGCATGTTGTTTGGTCATTCATGTTCACATAAGCAGTACGACAGAGACTGGCCAGCAGGCCAAGACACCGATGAACATTGATGCCTAGTGCCGACCTTTACCAAATAATGCAAAGAATATAGCAAGGCTGAATAATCTTTCAGTCTCACAACCCAGTCCCATCTTAAAGACAAATTGCTTTTTCATATTCCAAAAAAAAAAAAAAAAACCATAAGAAAATATTACGTATTTTTGGTATTTTTGCTCATCAACACTTTCTTCTGAAGTAAAAATCGTTAACTAAATTCTAACGATTTTTTTAAAAAATACTACAACTCGGAAAACACTTTTAAGTTTTTGTGCTGAACGTAATCAGAAACGCTTGATTGTAATTAAAAAAGTGTGAAGTAATTGTGAATCATCTATTTGAATTCAGGTCACGACAACAAGGGACCAACGTCATCATCGACCGTACTGAAAGTGGTGCACAAGCACGGACCATGCTCTGGAATCAAGAAGAAGAACTCCAAAATTCCAACGCACGCTCAAATCCTCAAGCAAGACCAAGCCCGAGTTGACTCAATCCACTCCCGAGTCAACACCAAGAAAGCACCATCCGCAGCCACCGTCGACAAACTCCGCCCATCCGCCGAAACCAAAACTCCGGCCCAGTCCGGAAGCGTAGTGGGCTCAGGCAACTACATTGTCAGCGTGGGCCTGGGCTCGCCCAAGAAGATGCTCACCCTCATCTTCGACACGGGAAGTGATCTGACGTGGACCCAATGCCGCCCATGTGCCAAATCATGTTACAAACAGAAGGAGCCCATCTTCGACCCCGCAGCATCCGCCTCATACGTCAAAATCTCTTGTAGCTCCGCCACGTGTTCCGAACTGGTGTCAGGCACTGGAAACACTCCCGGCTGCGCCTCCTCCACGTGCATCTATGGCATTCAGTACGGAGACCAGTCATTCTCCGTCGGATTTTTCGGGAAGGAACGGCTGAGCTTAACGCCGACGGATATTTTTGACGGGTTTTTGTTCGGGTGCGGCCAGAACAATCAGGGACTCTTCGGGGGCGCCGCCGGTTTGCTCGGTCTCGGCCGGGATAAAATCTCCATCATCGAGCAATCCGCCTTGAAATACAGCCGGTTCTTCTCCTACTGCCTCCCCTCCAAATCCAGCGGCACTGGATACCTCAGCTTCGGCAAAGGCGGCGGATCTTCCAGCGCCGTGAAATTCACACCCCTCGCCGACGTCTCCCAAGGCGGGTCGTTTTACGGCCTCGACGTCGTCGGGATCAGCGTTGGCGGGAAAAAATTACCGATTCCCGGTACAATTTTTTCCTCCTCGGGGACGATTATAGATTCCGGGACAGTGATCACGCGCCTGCCGCCGACAGCATACAAGGCACTGCGCGACGCGTTTCAGCAGGGGATGAAGAGCTACCCGTCAGCTCCGGCGCTTTCGATTCTCGACACTTGTTACGACTTCAGTAAGGTCGATACGGTGACGTTTCCGAAAATTTCGTTTGCGTTCGGCGGCGGAACGACGTTGGAATTGGACCCGACCGGGATATTCTACGCGGCAAGTGCCGATCAAGTTTGCCTGGCGTTTGCCGCAAACGGTGACGACAGCGACATAGGGATATTTGGGAACGTTCAGCAGAAGAGGGTGCAGGTGGTTTATGATGTGGCTGGTGGAAAAATCGGATTTGCCCCTGCAGGATGCCCATGAGGGCTTATGTGATTAGCTGCTTGATTAGGATGGTTAAGAAGTTTGATTAAGCTGGCAGCAGCAGCAGCTTAGGGAAAATGTTGGATTAAACAGTTGACGACTAAAGATCGTCCTCAATTGGTATTAAAAAAAATGTAATGGTAATACATGTAGACGAGTTGGAACAAACCATGTAGTGACGATTGGTATGTGCGTGTAAACGTAACAGTAAAAATGAATTTCAAATGTGTAAAGTGTATAAAATAAAATAAAAGTACACTTTTGAATTGTTGCGATTTTATAATTCTTGCATATCCAGTCTACTCGATAATTCTTGTAAAACTTTACTTCATTTATATTTCTAAAAAATTGAATGCAAGTCGATGCGTTGGATTACAAGAGATTTATATTTTAATTGGCTAAGAATATTTACACTTACTGCCGTGTTCAATTCCTCTTTAAAAAAACTGTGTTGAATTAGCCAAGTTGGGAATGAAAAACACTATTAACTTGCTATTATGGATGAGTGGTGAGTGACGAGTGATGACCGAATTATTACGCGAGGGAATTTCAAATATAACACTGTTACAGAAAAGTTGCAAAAGCAGGCATGGCAGGCATATCTTCTGCAGATCCTTGCCAAAAGCACTTTGAAGGGGAAACAAACAAGATGCTACAACGAAAAAGTTACACAAATTATTGTGGCGCACCGACACCTTCGAATTTCCATTTTAATTGCCGTACGTCCCTACCTCCCAATGAGCTTATAAGGATATATAGGAGTTTATGCTCAGATTCCAGGAGCTACTAGCTAGGCTTGTTATTAGATCATGGCAACTCCCATTTCTATCTCCCCTTCCTTCCTCAGGGTTTTCTTTGGTTGCTTTGTGTTTTTTATCTGCGTAATTCTCTGCTCGCCGGAGAAGGGCCTTGCTTTGACAGAAGGAGATACAAAAACTGACCTTCTTCCACATACTCACACAGTTGAAGTAAACTCTCTGCAACCAGCAACCACCTGCATCCTCTCCACCCAAGGTTGAACTCCATATATAACAGCATTATTAAAGCGCTTCCTTCTGCAGCTTAAGTTTTTGAACTTTAATTACCCCCCTATTATCTCTATGTGTGCGTGCGTTTTGTCTTTTCTGATCGAGTATATATGTATATTCAGTTCGAGCTAATTGCTTATATGAAACTCCATGGTTTAACCAGGTCAGTACATATGCATGGATAAATTATCGCATCGACCAGATGTTGTCTTAGTAATTTACATGTTTTAACTATACAGGTGGACTAATAACTAAGCATTTTATATATTAGTCCATGGGTTAAGATAGGAGGACGCTTATTTTTTGACACGCATTTTATAAGATCCAGTCCATTATCCGAAATGTCAATATTGTAATTCATCATTCTTAAATTATTTATTAATTTATTTTAAATTATCACATAGTTATGATAAATGAGAAACTAAAGATGAATATTTTCAATTCAGGTCCTTACAATAACAAGGAATCGGTATTGGAAGTGGTACACAAGCATGGGCCATGCAAACAACACAGATCACAAAGTAACCCCACTGATCAGGATCGCACTCAAATCCTCAAGCAAGACGAAGCCCGAGTCAGCTCAATTCACTACCGTCTTAACTCACTCACACAACCTGACGCCGCCACCAATACCATCCCCGTCCAGTACGGTCTGGAACTTGGATCATCCAACTACATTGTAACAGTGGGCCTCGGCACACCGGCCAAAAACCTCTCCCTCCTTATCGACACAGGCAGCGACCTAACTTGGACACAATGCCGACCGTGTGTCCCATCTTGTTACAAACAGAAAGAGCCAATGTTCGACCCCTCCCACTCCACCTCATACTCCAACATCTCCTGTGAGTCCGCTGCGTGTTCTCAGCTCACAGTGGCCGGCATCGGCCGCGACTGCTCTGCCGCCACGTGCACCTACAGCGCCAAGTATTTAGACAACTCTTCCTCACTGGGCTTCTTCGGCAATGACAAGCTAACAATAACACCGACGGATGCTTACGATGATTTCGATTTTGGCTGCGCGCAAAACAGCGAAGTCCAGTTTGGCGCCGCCGCCGGTTTGCTCGGTCTGGGCCGGACCAGCATCTCCTTCGTCGAACAAACCTCCCAGAAATACAAACGAGTGTTCTCCTACTGTCTACCCTCCACTTCAAGCTCCACCGGCTACCTCAAATTCGGCCCCGACGGAGGCTCCGGTAACGCCGTCAAGTTCACGCCGCTCAAAACTTTATCCCAAAGCGCTACATTTTACGCCCTTGACCTAGTTGGAATCACCGTCGGTAGCCGTCAGCTGAAGATTTCAGCCTCTATCTTTTCAAAGTCGGGGACAGTCATCGACTCGGGGACGGTGATCACGCGCCTCCCTGCCACCCCGTATGCCGCATTACGCGCGGCTTTTAGAAAAGCGATGAAGAAGTACCCTTTTGCTAAGTCGAAGTCTGCCCTACTAGACACTTGCTACGACTTTAGTGGACTTAAAACGGTGTCGTACCCAAAGATAGGGTTTGTATTTGGAGGTGGGGTTACGGTAGACTTGGACGCGACAGGGGTACTGTTCCAGACTAGTGGTTCGCAGTTTTGCTTGGCGTTTGCAGGAAACAAGGACGATAGTAGCGTCGGGATTATCGGCAACGTTCAGCAGAAGAGGCTGCAAGTGGTGTACGACGTTGCTGGGGGAAAGATCGGATTTGGCCCTGCAGGTTGCCCCTGATTGATTAGCTACTTAAATCATTGCTGATGAAGATTTCTAACTGGTGGTACTGCTAAGTAAGCAGCTACCGAAAAAATAAAGTTGTTAGTAATGATCTCGTTGTCTTGTGGTTCCGGTGATGTCAAAGTGTTAATTATCTGTCACTACAAGAAAAATGACCTATGGATACAAAATTGAGGACACACTTAATTATTTTGTGGATAACTAACCAATTTTACACACAAAAAAATTGTATTTGTTTCCTTTGTATAAAGGCACTAATTAATGTGCCCATTCTTCTACAAATTTGGCACAAATATTTTTTCAAGACATCATTATAAAAATAATGGACTCAAATTATCATTTGTGCCAACATTTTACTTGTAAAGACACAATTATTTATTTTTTATTATTTTTCAAATACTTATGGCCCACACATACCCCACTTTCTCTGTCTCTCCGTCTCTCTCAGTTAACCCACCCACACCCCACTTTCGTCCCTAACCCACCCACACACCACACCCCACTTCCCTCCCTCTCCCTTTAACCCAAATTCTCTCTTTCTCAACCAAACAAAATTTATGCATCTCTCTCTACCACTCTCACTTCTCTCAAATCTGAGATTTTCTTTCGTTTTTTTCTTGGAAAAACACATGTGCATCAGATTTGAGAAACACCAACGCCTCCGCATCTCTCTCTATCTCAATCGATCCGTCTCTCCCTCTCGTTGCATCTCACGCTCAGATCCCAACTGTCTGTCGTTTGAGAAAGAACTTGAAGAAATGCAAGAGAAGGTTCAGGCAACGAGGCTTTAGAAGGAGAAACCAAGAAGCTCCTTAAGAAGGAGGAATCTTGAAGTTCAAGAAGGAAGAGCTCCAAACAAAGGGCCAAGAGCAAGACAAGCTTCAGATGGAGTTGAAGAAGCTGCAGGAGTTCAAACTCGTCGAGTCGGTTAAGTCTGAGATCGGATCTAAGATTCTGAGGAAGCACCATCGTCTTCACTGTTCCTCAGATCAATGCCATAAGGAGGTAGTTGTTTTATATTTTTCCTAATTCGCAATCAAGTTTTCCTTTTTTTTGTTTAATTTTTCAAATTTATTGTAATTTTTTGGGATTCCACAGTATTTGGAGGCAAAGGGGTTTAGATGGTTTAGGGGTTCGTTTTTGACCTTTGATACCTTGTGATCGATCAACTGGAATTTCAAAATTGGATAGTCTGTATTTTTGTTAGCTAGCTGTAGAGTTGTATGATAAGCTTGGAGGTATACTTAATTATGTCCTATAATTTTTTAAGTGTTGAAAACCTGAGAGAAACAGAGTTCATACCCCTGTGGTTTTTCACGTGGGTTGTAACCCTACCTCTATACTACTGCAATTTTAAAACATTATCTTATATATGACTTTAAAGTTTTTGTTAATTAATTCTTTTTAATCAAATAGTGTCTGCGTTAGTTTCCTTTCCATATTTCTAGTGTTCTAGAATTTTTAGTTTGTGTGTAATGTTTGAATTGATTGTATTAAATTTGGTTGTGATTTTTTCTTTCTTTTGTATTATAGTGCAACAAAGACATAATCTAATCTATAAAGTTGTTTGTTTACATTCTTTGATCAGGAGCTGCTAATCAGTTATTAACACAACTTTATATTGTTGGGTGACTTATCATTGTTGTGATCATCAGTACCTATATGGCTATCAGCAGTGTCGATGATGTCGGTGTTAAGTAATATCTCTCTGTCTCTTGGAAAGGATTGGCCTTACTCTTGCTAAGGGTGTAGATATCATATCTCTTCAATTGTTTCTTAATTTATTTTTTGCACTTGCTCCTTTGATCAATTATTTAGCTATATATCAGAGTCATGATATGATGGCCATTTTTAGGTGAACATTTTCAGTATTATTTTAGATAGTATACAATACCAAATAATGTATTGAAATTTGATATTCTGAACTGAATTCGTCAGATTGTAAATCAGCATGAAGCTACAAGTAGCAACATTGTCAGGCACAAGGAGTTTAATCTTCAAACACTTGGAATTGGTGGCTTAGGTGCTGAGTTTGCAGATATATTTCGAAGAGCTTTTGCATCCCATGTTTTCCCTCCTCACGTGACAAATAAGTAAGATAACAGATTATTCTAGTTGCGCTGATATCTTTTTGGTATAACTTTATACCACACTCCTTTCTGGAAAGACATTGAACCATGTCGAATCGTGATTTAACACATCATTTTGATGCTAGTACATTATTTTAACAAAGCTATTTGAGCATGTCTGAATGATTTTGGATATGCAACTTATCCTTAGGGATCAGTTAGCTATTATCTGCATTGGTGATTGATGAGATTTCTATTTTTGTGAATTGTGCTAGATTGTTAATGGCCCTGAAGTTTTGAGCAAGTTGGTGAAACTAAGAAAAATGTTAGGAATCTATTTGCTAATGCTGAGAATGATCAAGGGGCTCGCGGTAAGGGAAATATATACATGTCTAGTGCACTTAGGCTGGTTTTTCAATAATTTCTAATCTCATTATGTCCTTAATTCCCCTGGAGACCAGAGTGGTTTGCATGCGATAATCTTTGATGAAATGGATGCTATTTGTAAGGTATAAATATTTCCTAGTCTATGCTTTTTACTAAGATTCTTATTCAACTACAATTTATTTTCAATTCAGAAAAAGTTGTGGGACTCTCAGTTTAAGCAAGAAGGGAATGTGGTTTAAGTGAGCTTCATTGCACGAAGAACTTGGGTTCATCAGCTGCAGTGCTGTGAGGGAAGATAGGATTCTGAAGGACTTGGTTGTGAATAACTAAAATACGTGTATATTGTGGGATTTGTTGATTTAAAAGAAAATTCAATTTTTCTACATTAATATATATATTTTTTTTAAACAGAACCTATTGGGCACGATTTGAAAATTGTGCGCAATATGATTCTGTCACCTGACAATTTGACATGGTTGTCAGACACAAATAGGCTGTTATTTGTGCTGAACTCTTTGAGCACAATTGTTGGTGCTTTTTGACCTCAAAGGGCACAAATAATTTATTGTGTGCATTGCTCATTTTTTTTGTAGTGTGTTATTTATCCTCCTTATGAATGTTTGTTATCCTTTTTAAGAAAGCAATATTTTAATAGATTTGAAGTTCACTGAAAGTTTTCGGACAAAAAATTAGAAACTTTGTCTTTCATTCAAACCGTTAGAACATCAAATATTTCATTCATTGCATTCAGGTCCAATACAGAACTTAGCATGAGGTTCAAAGTGATTACTTTTTTTTTTTTTTTCTTGTTCTTTAAAAATGGACCAACCAATGGTTTCACCATTGCATTCCATTATTTCGGGGTAACTATTATATTCCATTAAGTTTTCTCATCAATTCTAACTAACCCGAAAGATTCTTCAGAGATATTTTAACCTATCATTGACCATCATCGTGTTTTTTTTTTCGCGTTGCCCTAATAGTATTGATTTCGTCGCAGAGGTGATGACTAATTAATTAGTATGGACTTCAATTAAGGACATCCACATGTGCAACCGGGAAATAAGCGCATGCAGCCACAAGAAAATTCGTCATTATGTACGTAGTTTCCTAGCTTGGAAAACTTGATCCACGATACTTGACGGGAATTGCTTTGTCTCACTCTCTATGCATATCTTCTCCAAATCGATCTGTCTTTGTCTGCAAAGACTACACAAGTATACGTTGTTGTTGTTGAAATGATAAGACATTTCTAATTAGCATTTGACTTGCTAATTAATTACCATTTGACTTGCTAATTAATTACCATTTGAAAACTTAAGCACTCTCTGACTAGTCTTGAGTATCTAAATTCACGATTCCATACATATGCCTGCTTTTTCCAGCTTGCATGTCCTCCACTGAAATAATATCTTCTCAGTCCGATTTATCATTGAATTTATATATATAAAATAAAGTACTATATATATATATATATATATATATATATATATATATATAACAAATCCTCTCCAGATCTAAAAAAAAGGGAGCCCAAGGATCACATGATTCGGGCTGTCGAAATTTGATCCAACAGCTACAATTATTATAACTTTTAGAGAGGCCCCATGTTTGTAGCTGTTGGATCAAAATTTCAACGGTCCAAATCTTTTGATCTTTGAGCTCTATTTTTTTATATCCGAAGAGGATACGTACTCATATATATATATATATGTGTGTGCGCGCGCGTGTGTGTGTGAATTCAATGTTATAAAATTTACATGAATTAATAATTAAGTCCGCTTATGCATGGCGACCTTCATTATTTTTAATAGAAAAATTAAAGTCCAGAAAAATAACACCAAAGTATTCGTATACGTCAACCGTGAGTCTCCTTATAAGGGAGTGCATCCTCATCCCAAATCTAAGAGCTAAAAACTTGAGCTAAAAACCTTTAGGGAGTAATAAGGCTTCATGGAAATTGCTCCGATGAATTTTAGCTCTTTTTTTTCAGGTCTTTTGGTTTATATGTATTATTTCTTTGTCTAGTTCTCTGCTCTTTGGAGAAGGGTTTTGCCTTGGCAGGAAGGAAGGATAAACTTACTCATCACACAGTTCAGTTGAAATCTCTACTGCCTGCAACTACTTGCACCCCCTCCACCAAAGGTACTTACTAATTTTTTGTGTTGCTAACTCTTTCTATATGTGTCATGTATATATGTCAATATATTAATACATGCACGAATCGTGTTCCTTAATGTTTAGTTATGATATGTTATATATGTTATAAAAATAATTTGGATTTTAGCGTCAAGATGTCATATAGTGTTACTATTTTTCATGTTATATCAATGACAAATTTATGCAAATATATATTATCAATAAGACTGTTAACACATTACGTGTGTTGCGCTAGAGCATCAAATATAACAAATAAATTGATAGGCTTTTACTTTATTTCTTTTTCCATAATCCATATTATTAAAAAAATAAATGGTCCTAGTCTCAATAGTTTTTTTTTTTTTTCATTTTTGTTAAATTTTATTTTTCTAATCTTTTGGCAACTTTCAATGTGCTTGGCTGATAATTTGCTGGTTTTAGTTAAATAAATCTTTGAGGATAGTGTCAAGTATGAGCAATAATTAGAGTCTCACCTCGATTTGTTGATTGTTTCTTAGGGGGTGTAGTCAAACTAAGATTTTAAGGGTTTTAAAGTGCTAGATTTAATGGTCCTAGTCTCAATAGTTTTTTTTTTTTTTTTTTCGTGAAGCCTGAAGTGTCCCACATTTTGAAAAGTAGGAGTGATTTCTAATGGAATCTAGAAAGACTAAAGGTATATCAGCTCACTCCTGATCATAATCAATTGGAACACGTCCTTTAAGCTATTTACAAGTCTATTTAAGTGAAACTTGGAAAAATACTTAAAGTGCTTCATGCATTTTTATTAAGGATTGTTCCAAAAATATTTTTACCAAAATCAAGTTTTAATCATTTTTACACAATGCTTTATAATGTTAGCATGAAAATTAACTTTAAACTGTGAGTTGACAGAAAGTTCAAGAAAAGTCTCATGCACTTTGAGAGAGTCATCTTGACATTTATTTCGAAACCTTTGCCAACGATAAGTGGAGATACAAAATTTGAGTGTACAATTACTTTATAGCTCAAATATTTAGGGTTTACACATTAGGTCTAGTGTTTGATACTTGGCTCTCCCAATGACCGTTCCACAAAGTGACATCATACGAACCCAAGCAAGAGAACCACAAATGGAGTAAATAATTTTGTTCTGGAAATCTTGCCAAATGCTTCCATTATTTATACTTGAGCTATATATAGTTATACGCGCACTCAAACCCTAAACGTGTCACCAAATTCTGTTGCTAGTCTACATGCATGAACTGTGTTCATCAAAATTTATTCAGCAAAATGACTCAGCTAGTAGTGCTAAATTAATTCAGATTTGAGACCACTCTAAACCTGATTTATTACTTAATCATAATCAATTTAGCAACTTCCAGCGGCGAATCCAATCTTCCCTCCTGCAACATCGTACACCACTTCAAACCCTTTCTGCTGAAAATTCCCAATGATCCCCGGCTGCCGATCTTCGGTGTTAGGAAGAATCGCCAAGCAAACCTGCGAAGTATCAACTATCACAATCACTGTCCCCGCCGATTTCAATTCCAAAGTAAGCCCGCCACGGAACGTAAACGCAACCACCGGAAACCCAAGACAGTTCAGTGGGTACTGGACAGTTGCTACGACCTTAGAGCGTATAACTTGGAGACGGTCTTGTTTCCGGCGGTAGCGTTTACGTTCAGTGGCGGGCTTACTTTGGAATTGAAATCGGCGGGGACAGTGATTGTGATAGTTGATACTTCGCAGGTTTGCTTGGCGATTCTTCCTAACACCGAAGATCGGCAGCCGGGGATCATTGGGAATTTGCAGCAGAAAGGGTTTGAAGTGGTGTACGATGTTGCAGGAGGGAAGATTGGATTCGCCGCTGGAAGTTGCTAAATTGATTATGATTAAGTAATAAATCAGGTTTAGAGTGGTCTCAAATCTGAATTAATTTAGCACTACTAGCTGAGTCATTTTGCTGAATAAATTTTGATGAACACAGTTCATGCATGTAGACTAGCAACAGAATTTGGTGACATGTTTAGGGTTTGAGTGCGCGTATAACTATATAACTATATATATATATATATATATATATAGCTCAAGTATAAATAATGGAAGCATTTGGCAAGATTTCCAGAACAAAATTATTTACTCCATTTGTGGTTCTCTGGCTTGGGTTCGTATGATGTCACTTTGTGGAACGGTCATTGGGAGAGCCAAGTATCAAACACTAGACCTAATGTGTAAACCCTAAATATTTGAGCTATAAAGTAATTGTACACTCAAATTTTGTATCTCCACTTATCGTTGGCAAAAGTTTCGAAATAAATGTCAAGATGACTCTCTCAAAGTGCATGAGACTTTTCTTGAACTTTCTGTCAACTCACAGTTTAAAGTTAATTTTCATGCTAACATTATAAAGCATTGTGTAAAAAATGATTAAAACTTGATTTTGGTAAAAATATTTTTGGAACAATCCTTAATAAAAATGCATGAAGCACTTGAAGTATTTTTCCAAGTTTCACTTAAATAGACTTATAAATAGCTTAAAGGACGTGTTCCAATTGATTATGATCAGGAGTGAGCTGATATACCTTTAGTCTTTTTGGATTCCATTAGAAATCACTCCTACTTTTCAAAGTGTGGGACACTTCAGGCTTCATGAAAATAAAAATAAAAATAAAAACTATTGAGACTAGGACGATTAAATCTATCACTTTTAAAACCCTTAAAATTTTAGTTTAACTACACCCCCTAAGAAACAATCAACAAATCGAGGTGAGACTCTAATTATTGCTCATACTTGACACTACCCTCAAAGATTTATTTAACTAAAACCAGCAAATTAGCAGCCAATAACATTGAAAGTTGCCAAAAG